TATTGGCTAGTGGAACAATTAGTTGGAATAGCAAGAAGCAACCAATAGTTGTATTATCTACCATCAAAGTAGAGTATATGGCTGCAATTCAAATTAAAAACTCTTTTTAGCAAGCATTTTTAATTCTCTTCTCTTTACATAGTTGTACTTCAATTCTAGCAATATACTTCCTTATATTTTATTACAAAACTATGCTCAACGTTGGTTAGAAGTTGCAACTATATAGATGAGAGATTCATTACAACAAATCTTATCCTATGCTGAAGTAATGAATGGCATTTTGGATATTCAATCGTATTTAAAACCATAAATAATAACACCTTCATATCCTCATTCTGCATATTCTAAAAATCAATCAGCTTGCTTTACAAAATATTACCCTAATAAATTAAATTTTAAGATTTACAATGTAGTTTCAATAAATAGTAATATTTTACTAAGAAGCAAATTTATCTACTTAGATTAGGAATGTTGTAATTTAATATGAATAGTTTATTTTTTTCTTCTAATATTATACTTTATTTAAGTATATCTATAAGAATTAAATTATATAAAGATACTTACATAAAAAAAATATAAATACTTAAATGCTAATAAGCTTTAATATTTAAATTTTCTTTAAAAAAATTATAAAATTTTAATTTAAGAATAAAATTATAAAACATTTTTAGCATGTATTAAAGATAAAAATTAATTCCAAATATTAAAAAATATTATGAATAAAATATAATTTCTATAATTTAATTGCAATAAATCAAATATTACTTACTATCTATAATATTATAGATAGTATTATTATAGATATAATAGAATAATATCTCTTTGATCTTTAAGAGCTAAGGTGCTATATAAAAGGCTAAAAATATGTAATACTTATTATGTATTCTATGGTATTAAATAATTAAATAGATAAAAATTTAAAAGAATAATGTACTCAATATTACAACATTAAAGATGTATTTAATAAAAAAATCCAAAAATTATATGTATACATGAATTATAAGAAATATATAATAAATTTATAGGAAAGAATAAAATGTCTATTTGAGCCAATATACAACATATAGATTAATTAAAAAAATACAAAAATATGTTAACAAATTATTACAAGATTTTTTAATATTTAATATTATTAATAGAATCATCTATATTTTTATTAAAAAATAAGATAAACTATTATAGATATATGATGATTAATCAATATATATATATATATATATATATAAATTAAATTAAAATATTTATTAAAAAATATATTTATAAAGATTTAATTAAAACATGTTTATAATCTTTTTATCATCAAAACAATAAAGAAATATTTGAAAGGAAAAATAAATAATTTGGTAATAATTTATGACTCTTGGATTTAAAAACATATATAAACTTCAAATTTAATTAATTATAATATTTGAAGATAATTTGATAAATTTTCTTTATTCATTAGATATCTTTTATTTAATACTATTTATTTAATATTACTTTTACCTAATATTTTTTATCTAAAATATATTATTTATAATTTATGCTTTTATATATTAGATTTCATGGTACATATTGAGAATAAATTATGTCAAAATTATTGTATATATCTATTCTTAAAAAAATACTAAAATATATATCATACTATAAGTTTAATGATTTTTTAAGAATATTATTTAGTATAATTATTAAGTCAACTTAAGAAAAATAATTTATACAGATTTAAAAAAAATTAAAACTATCATTTGAAAGATAAAAAGTTTTAGCAATTAAAGATATTAATTAGTTTTAGAATTTATAAACTTTTAAAGGATTTTTAAAAATTACTATTCTAAAATTGAAATTCTATAGATAAGATTTTTTTATGAATTATTTTAAATAATAAAGTAATATTATGAATGAATAAAAAATACTAAATTTAACTATGAGAATATTATATCAATCCAAGGCTCTTTTTTGCTATAATAAATAATTCATAAAGATTCATTTTGTAGCCAATAAGATAAAGATCCTTGGTGCAAAACTTGGATTTTGATAATTTTAGCATGAAAGATAAGCTCTAAATCATAATAATATGGGCTAAATTAATAATTTAAGTTTTGGTGTATGTTAAGTTTACAATTATTTTTTTCGAAATAAAAGAAGTAGTTAAAAAAGTTGAACCACAAAAATAAGGTCGATTGATTTAGTATTCTTCATTATTATAAGTTCATTTGGTCTTATTATCTTATCTAATTTTAAAGTCGAATTTGTCAATTAGATTAAATATAAGCTATATAGATTATTGCACTAATTTAACATAATTTTGTAATTACATTTTTTTTTGTAACAATAAAAATATTCCATATTTTTTTTATCTTTTAATTCTATTTGATGCTTAAATATATATATATATATATATATATATATATATATAGGCATTGGATCAATAAACATTTTTAAATTTTTTATAAGATTAAAATAATTTAATTTAAATTAAACTATATTATTATTTTATTAAAATTTTAAAAAATTGGTGGTTTTTTTTTTTAAATTATTAATATTCAAATGTACAAAAAAATTATAATCAATTATTCTATTAAAGAAATTATAATGTCTATCTTTAAAATTTTATATATTTATATATATTTTAATATATCTTATAAAAAAATAATTTTAAATTTTAAATTTTAAAAATTATCATTTAATTAAATTAGCATCTAAAGATTTATAAAGTTTATCAATAATATTCTTATATATCAAAAAAAAAAATTAATTTTTTGGAATACAAATATATTAAAGATAAAAATATCCATATAAATAAATCATAATTTGTATAAAAACATACATATGAGTAAAGCAAGTGAACAATATATCATTGATCTTTTTTTATTTTTTTGCAAATCAAGGCTTATTACTTATATCTTTGTACTTATATTATGTCAAATTGAAGGATTTTATAGAACTACAAGATTCTAACTTTTAATTTTTTATGTCATTCTTGTTGAACCATTTTTTTACCAAAAGAAATAGTATTATAAACTACTTATAAACTACTATCTCAAGCATCTTTTTAAAATTTATAAATACTTTTTAGAAACTATATCGATTTCATAAAGCTTTAAAAATCTTTACAACCTCATTAAAATATTTTTCCGACATCGATGCAGTCAACTCTTTTGCAAATTAAGAAAATCCTTAAGATTCACAAATCTTTGACTACCTCTTGCTTGGATGCATATTCTTGCTATTGATATATGTGATTGTCGTTTTACTTATTTTACAAATTCTTTTCAAAATAAACCTATAGATGGAGATTTGAATGCAAGGAAAGACTAACTACATGAGCTTATATGTTAGGGTCACACAATTAACCGTATTTCGAACCACAAAAACACCAAGGAATACCACAATGCTTTCTTCCACTAATAATAGTCCTTCATCAACTGATAACAATAAAGTGCAACCTTGCACTCTCTCAAAAGACCACTCAAAACACACATATATTCCCTCCAACACTGAAAATAATAGACTTCCACTCCAACCAATCTAGCTTCATACAATTTCTGTAATCATAGACTTCTTCTATCGAAATATATAACTCTCAACAAACAATGGATCATTATCTTCCATCCATAATCAATCTTCACAAAATCTGATAACAATCTTCCAATATCTTCTCATAATAATTCAATCACATAGTATTCCCATTACATACTCAATATCTTATAAATTAATCTCTGATTTATTCCACAAATTCACTTCACAATAATCAAAATCTAAAACAAAAAAATAAATAAAAGATAGCACCAAGCTTATCTCGGCTCATGACTATCATAGTCTAGCCCTATCAAAATCTACTTCAACTGCTATATACTTACCCTTGAAATCCCAAATTCTAACAGTCATTCCCTACTTAACAGTTTTGCACAACTAATTCAATCATCTGACCTACTAAATTGACTACCCTAGGAATAATTAATCTACTTTATCAATAACTTACAAAAACAAATTTCTACCCATTCTACTAAATTGACTATCCTAGGAATAATTAATCTACTTTACCAATATCTTACAAAAACAAATTTCTACCCATTCTACAGTACAATACTGGAAATTGAAACCCAAATTACAAGTAGAGAAAGAGAAACCGAAGACAACATCAAGTGATTCTCTGTAATGAATTACATCCCCGCTGAATTACATCCCCACTGAACAGTGTTTTGTTGGAATATTTAGAGCATTTTCAGAGCATATGACATTCAACGTTCTGAGGAAATCTAACCGCAACAATATTATGTGTATTCCTCTAGCTTTCTTTCCCCGTTTAAATGCAAGCACTTAGCTCCAAAAATATAAGTCTTCCGACTCAAATTCCAGAAATAGGTCTTTTTAAAAACAAAAATAATCACTTATATTTGTAGGATACTTTTGCAGAACATAGGATAGAATCTGAATTGTAAGATTCGTGTACGTAGTTGAATACATTTCATAGAGATTGAAGAAAGACACAGCTGATGCGAATAAGTTGGATGTCAATTTCTCCACTGACTTAAGCCAGACACAAACATAAAAATCCGGACTGCGAGAGGTGATGCCATTCATTGCTCCTTTGCCAAGCGACTCTTCAAAAGAATCCGATGACGGTACCGCCACCACCGAATTTCTCTTCACAACCTGCTTTGAATTGAATACGAAGCTTGTATAAACTCAGAAAATTTAGAACGAAGCAACATAAAGAAGTCCGCAAAAGTGAACAATTCTAAATAGTTCGAAGATAGAGTCTACAACCCGATTCGAGCTGCATCTTAAGTCTCCACTAGACGACCAATTTTCGGGTGCAAAATTGGCACTTTTGATTGAGAGAGTACGGTGGTCATAGTAGAAACTTGAAAGGGTATCACCTGCAATGAGATATTGTGAATAACGCTAAGGGGTCCACAGGAACTTATTCAAATGAAAAATTAAGTGAGGAACGTATAAAAATAATATAAAATAAACGACCTTGCACTAACTGATTGAAACTTCCGGAACAAACTATGTCTAGGAAAGTTCAATTTCTTGAACCAAGATCATATTTAAAAACCTTCGTTGACACAATGAGTGTATTATAGAGATGATATATACCAAGACCCTTAATTGGTCTAAATTGGAAATAAAAAGCTCACAACAGATGATCGAGCTGGCCAACTTAGTGTAAAATAGGTGAGTATTGCGAAGGCTATTCAAAAGACTGTCATATTAACATCAAGAAAAATCCCTTCACCAAAACCGAAGCAGATCACGAACCCACTTTCTTGAGAGAACCTCCTGTGTGCTAGCGACTTTGATCAACTAAGGAAAAAAGCGAATATACAGATAGTAGTTTTGGTGCCATATTGTGTATGCTGCTACATTTCTTTGTAGCCCTTCAAGACATCACGAATTTCTTCCCGAATTCGGTTAAGGCGAGATTTCACGTTTGGGGTACGGAAACTGGCATGAAGTATTGGCACTGCGCATGAACAGTGAACAAAGAGTGATGATCAGCACCACAACTCGATACAAACTAAGTGACCATACGCATGCAGTACAAAATAATTTAGAGGATACATAGGAAAAAAACTTACGCGACAAAGCAAGAATAGAAGCACCACAAATAGTCACAACAGCTGAGGATTTCCACCATAGTAGGGCGCCAGCTGCTCATGAGTACAAATGTCAAAAGCTGAAAAGGAGCAGAGTGCACTACTTTGACAACACATTATCAGACACAACTTTGTCTGTACTTGACTTGACAAGAACTTCATATATTACTTTTAAAAACCAAACACAATACAGATGAACCTCAAGTCAATCAAAATGCACTATAAGATGGGCAAAAATTTAAGCATTCAAGTGTTATATGGTCCTTCATACCAGACGCCAAGATGGTTGCACAGATGCGGCGATCTTGGCCACAGATGTAGATAGTGCGATTTCGGGATTGACCACGAGGTTTATCGCTGCGCAACCATCTATTTGTTAGATACTAGCAACTGGATGCATATTTGTGAGGACGTGAAACTCCTCTTTGTGAAGAAGCGCTACCAAGAACAAGAGTGGAGCCAGATTACCGTACAACATTCTAAGAAAGTGTTATGATTTGACACAACAAATAATGAGAGAATCTTGCCATGTACTAGACAAAGAGAATGCTCGGATAATCCTCATTAATTGAGCATGCATTGACAGGGCGTTCCAGACAGATTGATCTAACAGGGTTGACAATGAAGAGGGAATATGGTGTAGGAAAACTCACTTCACGGGTGCCCGTAGTTTGCGTCCGATAGTAGGAGAAACCTGGCTAATTCCTCTCGTCAGCTTTTCGCTGAGAGTTATTGCGAAGCTAGAAAATTCACAAATCATATAAAATGTTAGGAATAAGTACAAGTCGTAAGCCTCACAAAGATGGAATCCCAATACCCCGAGTAAAAGTGAAAATTATATATATATATATATATATATGTATATATATGTATTGAAAATACTGTGAGATCTGCGTTGAACGAGATATGAATTTTGTGATTGTCATGACTGGCATCCAATGATCAATAAAATAATCAACATTATAAACACAACATTTGCTAAAATTGCTTACCTATCATTAAAACACGCAACACTGAGGCCTGTCAAAGTTACAGCTCCCAGCGCCAATGGATTTCGTACAAAGGCAAGTACTGGAAAAAGAAAAAAAAAAAAAGACGCAGTGTTTGATCAAAAAAGCAGGGTCAGCACATATAGTCATATTCAAAACAACAAAAACCATTCGCATGTCAGGAAATGTACAGCCCACGTTTAGTTTCACTCACGACTACAACGCAAAAAACCGTAAGAACTTACCAAAAACGGAACCCGCAAGGAGAACATAGTTTGTGCGGTAACTGCAAGAATACGAGGATCTCGTCCAGCATGTCAGTGAATTTTTCACCTACTCTCAAAAATACTGCACTGGGTATGAGTTTGCAGAAAGGACATTAAAAAGATAAGACTAATTCGAGGCTAGGACACCAAACTCAAAAAGATTGGAAAACTAAGATTCAAAAAACAATGCTATTGCTTCACCGTCAGGGGAGATACCATTGAAACTAACAAAATTTGTCCGACATCAAATTATAAGATGTCGGTAAAAAGAACTCATGATAATAATTTGCTACTCAATCTCCACTTGCCAGGTAACTCACTAGTAGAGGTTACATCGGAGACGCCCTTCCCATTTGGAATCGTTTTTCGGTGCGCTAAAATTGCCGAAGAATTCTCCCAGCGGGCGCGGAGGAATAGACCAATCCACTTCCTTCAATGCATCCACGAGATCCTCAAATGTCACATCGTTCCAATCCATTGTCCGATCTCTGCACTTTCTTCTGCAAACACCGCAACCACCAAAGCTTTCTTAAACGATTAATCTGGCATCACAACAGCAACATCAAAACAAGATCGCTCTTCTATTCCAAGTACCTCACAGCCTATTTCCAATGTTCCTCGGCACATACTCTCGACTCAAGTTTAATGTCACTACATCCTAAAACCTCATAAACTACACAAAACTTTCTTGCGAACAACCAAGTGACCTAATTCTAAACCAAAGTCCACAACAGAAATCTCGTTGGAAAACGACGTGCAGCTGCTCTGCTCTTATAAAAAAATTGAAAACAAAGAAACGACAACATTACGTTCATCTACTACCTGATAAAGGATAATTCCATCAACAGAGCAAGTAAGAGTATCAACCTCAATTGAGAACGAGAAGTTGTAGAAAGAGAACGCGAGGTGATTGGAGATCAGAAAGCTGAAACCACGATCGCGGCTGCATTTGAAGGAAGGTAAGCAACTCGACGCTGAACCTTCCGCACCCCGGTCCGATGCCTAGCTCAGCCGTTGCCGTAGACAGCGAGAGGGCAGAATGACGGGGCGATGGCTTGATGAACTCGTCTGTGCGTCGTCTGTGTGTCTGTGCTCTTCTTCTTCGTCTTCTTCGTCTTCTTCCCCGCCCCGCCCCGCCCCCGTTCCGCCATAGCTTCCTTGCTTGTACGCAACGGAACGGCATGAGGGGCTCCAGCGTCGGGAACTTTCTCGTCGACAGGATCGTTGACATATGGACGATACCTCCGTGGACGTGGACGGAGCTCAAGTTCTTTTTCGGTCCTGCTGATGTTGTTCCCTGAAAGTTCCACTGCAACGTTCACATCGAATGAATAGAATGATGTATTTTTCGCTACAATATGTTCTAATTTGTAGAATGATACATACTGAAATAAAACTAACATACGTCTTTCTTTTAATATTTTAAAATTTTATTTATTTTTTATAACGTTTCATATTTTGAATTTTACCAATGGTTTGAAAAAATGAAACAGAATGTACAAAAAAATTATTTTCAGATTTAGACGTGGACGACGTTCATGACGTGGGTCGAGGCGACACAGACAGAGGTTTGAGTTCTCTTCGTACCGACATACCATGCCACCTTTTCTCACACCTCAAGCATCATTCCAGGCGTGCTGTGCGCAATCGTATGTAATCTGAGTTTAGATTTCGAAGGAGAATGACTAAACTGGGCTACCGCAACCCTTTGAACCCAGGTTCGAAATACAAAGCATGAACCAGAGCAAGCTGTGTCAGCCAATTTGAGAAAAGAAGGTGGGGTTGATAAAACAAACCGGTGTGGACAACGAGCAGAAGAATAGGGAGGGAGGGAGGGAGGAAGCTGGGTCCGGACGAAACAACAGAAGGTGTGATGAGATGATCATAAACAAGAGTGAATGCGTTATCCGAGTTCAACGCCACCGCAACGAGGTGGACATTGACCGGTTCCGCTTGACAACATCACCTTCAGTTTGACTGATCAACTGCCATCATGTACGTGGAGGCTCCAGCCAGCCGCGTTCCTAGAATCGTGCTCAATGCATTGTTAACATTTTTGGTGGTTTGAAATGCTCTTTGCTTTCCTGAGAGGAGGAATCTCGGGCAACGGGTGCTTGCCGTGACCTTGACGCTGGCCATGAGAGTGAATCGATGAGGTATGAGCGAGAGTCAAAGCGTTGCATCCCCTACTTATCTCTGTCGCCGATTCATATAGTTATGAAATGCCTCGGACGTTGTGAGACGAATTGGTTATTTGGATGACCATAATGCTTGAATAAGACGAACCCAGTTCTGGATTTTGAGTGCCGGGAGAAACAAACGCAGTGCAAAGATATACACAAAAACAACGCAATTGAAACCAAGTCGTTGTGAACTCGGCACACACGAGAACCTTGAGCATACATAGGAAAAATGAATTAGCACATGTGTGAAGTGTCACGGTTGTCACGATTCTAAGCATGAAAAAAGTCTACCCGTGTGGCAGAGGACACCGAATCCTCGAACCTCCTACACCCGCTCATGCAAATCGAACCACTGAAAATCGCCGCAGCGGCTTCAACCTGCAAAACACAAACCGGTCTCTTTTTCTTGTCACCAGCCATCTTAAATTGGACCTCAGATCCCGACTAAGATTGTAACGAGTAACTTTTTGGAAATGGTATGTATGTCTTTATCGATTGTTTGATTTCTCATATCAAAAATGAAATTTCCACCTGTAGACGTATGTATAGGCTTAAAAACATGGAAAAAATGGTAACAATAATAATCACAATCACGCAGATCGATTATGCACATATAAATTTAGCAGAGGTAACACAGTATTAGTTACTGTAAGTTTATAAATACATAATAGAGGTGCTTAGTTGAGGTAATACTATATTAGTCACCCCGACGTCTCCGTCTTTTGGAAAGACCTTCATCCTAATAGAGGCAGGAGTGTATGACCAGCTGTTCACACATATACATTTATGTTCCACAGCACCTGACACGGGGTAAACCCCGCTAATAAGGAAGAAAAGGTACAGCACCTGACTTCACATACTAAGTGCATAAAAGATAGATTCCTTTATACTTCCTCTCTCAACCAACCATGGACACCCACATCTTGATCTGGATGCCCGATTAGGTATGGATATTCGGCGAAGACCCCGGAGGATCATTCATCACATAGGCGGCGAGTTCCATGAGGCATCCAGTTTAAACCTTCACCCGTAAGCCAACTACCATCCCAAGGTGCCGATGCCGCAGGAGGATCTGCAAAAGCAATAGCAAAAGCAATCGCAAAAGCGTAAGACACAAGTGGCACTGCTTTGAATCCACAACGGAGGAAAGGAAGAAAAGGGGAAAAGGGCCGAGCTGTGCGAGGACTCAGTTCTAAGCAGAAAAGGAAAGGCATTGCTGATGAGCTTGCCGAAGTATGGGAAGGTTGTCTGACCTTGACCAAGGATCGGACCGGCGAACACGATGGATGGGTTTAAGAAACAAGGGTATTGCAGATAATCTGCGCCCCACAGATGGCTAGCTGCGTTCAGCCCTGTATCTCCCGGCCACAGCGTCTCTTCTTCGCCTGTCACCGGATCGCGTGATTTCGACGATGCTGTGCTCTGGGACAAATTCAATTCATCGACTCCCGTTCCCTGATAGGCGAGACAGGAGGAGCTGGTGGTCGCATCAAACTGGGGCGGAATCTGGTCGAAAATTGGGGTGAGGAAACTGAATTCTTCAAAACAGTAGTCTTCCACCGTCAATTCTCGAGATGGTGAGGCGGCATCAAAAACGGTCGGTTCAAAGTCCACATCACACTCTTGGATTTCCTCGATCTGGTCGAGGATTTGATTTGGATTCCCCACCTCCGTGGGCGCGAATTGTGCAGCGTACTCCTGGCACCTGCGCTTTATGAAAGTGGTTGCCTCCTTGAACATCGATGTGGACTTAATGTCCGAGAGGTTGATGGTATCCGGGATCTGCCCAGAATATTCATCCAACTCCTTGCACGGCAGGTTTGGACCCCTCGGTTTGTTGCATCCCAGGAGTTTTCGTGCCAAATCCACTCCTCGAGCTGCACCCTCCTCGGTGTAGAAGGTGCCCAACCACACCTTCTTGTCGACGAGTTTCCACTGTTGCACTCTGATCTCCGAGACCCATTTCTGCAGATCTTGCCGGAATCGTACTCCGTAGAATCTAGAGCTGCTGACCTTTTTGCGCTTCGGAGATGACTGCGCCTCCACGGCTGCACCTCTCTTGCTGCAAATTGGAAAGGAAATGTTGAAGCACTATTCCTTGGTAAGAAAGACGAGCACGATAAGAACCCAAGTTTGCCAAGCGTGTTTGAAGATTGATGGATTATGATTTTGTATTGGGACAATGAAATCAAATTCTAAGGTAGAGAGATATACTTACCGTTTCGTAGGACTACGGCCATTAGCAACAGAGGTGGAGGTTACAGCCTCCAGATACTCGCCATTGACTTTAGACGGCGAATTGCCGTGACAACACGCAGCCCTACGGCATTGTCGACATTTTTCCTTTGCCGTTTCTTTGGTTCGCATGAAATCCTCCAGGGCTGAGTATCTTGTTGCTGGTGCCGATGAAGAGCTCTCGACCATCTTCAGGAAACAGCACAATATTGGCAAGGTTTGTGAACGGGTTGTTCCAGACCTTGCTCAGTCGGCGGTCGTGTCGAAGAAAATCGAAATAATAGAAATTGGCAGGATTTTGTTGTCCCTCTTTGGACAGGCCTGATTTACTGTCGACAATCTAGATACGCCACGCACCAGGAGCTGATAAATTGATGTTGAACGCTTGCTGTTCTGGCTGACTCAAAGTCCATGCTGCTTGGTAGTTTTCATTAACTCATACCGTTACGATTATAGATAATAGTTCACTGAAATTGTACTTCGCCTTCCACCCTCACCGTTCTTCCCTTGCAGTTTTTGTTCGAACTTTCGTTGATATATTACGATGAATCTCCTTGCCCCTTCTCTACTCAATTTTAAGCATCTAAGAAACCCAAAGTTTGACAATATAGATTCGCTCTGCCACCATTGTTTACATGAACACTACTGCAAGCGACTTTGTGTCAGTGTGTCGAACTAGTGGAATGGCTTACCAGCAAATTTAGAAAGCAAGAATGCAACTCGCACTGAGACTCTGATCGATCTCAGACGGAGATTATAACGTTTCTGTCAACAGCTGACCCCACCAAAATAGTTTAATGCATCGAATGGAAGTTGGAATCATAGCCTTTACCGATGATGCTGCACTTATAATGCCCGTGGCTACCATAATACAAAAGACCAGCATTCAGAGGAGGCACTGAAGTAAAATTAGTTACTAGCAGTTGTCTGCCCCAATTGCTGCCCACACAGCTGGTCATTGACGCTTTCAAAATCAGGTGCTGTGCTGAAGTTTCCTGAGGTCACAGGCCTTAAATTGTGCTGCATTCAGTCTGTTGGGGGAAGTTTCTGCATCCCTCTACGAAAGACAAGGCGCAGCATTCCAATGCACTGGCTCGTTGAATGGCACAACACAAAATGATGGTCGAATCCTGAAATGTTCTACCTGCAATGTAAATTCCAATCTCACGAAGCAACATAATCAAAACCATAAATTAATGTCAACAAAGTAAAACAACCAGGATGAGCTCATTAGGCTTCGGCAACGTCGAGAAAATTGGACCGTGGCGGGGGGTTACAAGTTTGGCACTCCGAGACTACAGTTTGAATTCTAATCAAAATTTCAACACAAGATTTACGATGCAGATGCTGGCACATTTCGCAGTTGTCCTGATTCTGGAAAGGATGACATTGCGTCTTGCTGTTGTAAAAAAAAAGAAAAAATGAAAAAATTGTGGTTCTCGAGCTAGAACTGGCCGGTTTGCTTCACATCATAGACTTCGAAGGATCCGGCGGGTGGGGTTTACCTTTTGGAGGAACGGGATGTGCATCACTCAAGTTGAAAAGTATTGGAAGTTCATCATGCAGACACTGATGTTGGCATTTTAGAGAACTTACAATAAAAGAAATTAAATGCACCATGGAAATCCAAGCCTTTTGTGCATTATGTCAATTTTTTTTTTGAGTTTGAGAAGACTGGCTCCTTTTCTTGCAGATAAACTCTTGAATCAACTTGAGCCATGGCTCTTGCTGTGTCCATGTCCATGTCCATGTCCTTAATTGTAATTCTTGTTTTGGAGCAACAAACTAGGTGGGTGGGTGGCACAGGTGAAAACCTATCAAAAGTTTTGAGGGATGAGGAGATGGGGGATGTGGGTTTTCTCTGCTGTTACCATGTCCATGAAGAGAGGAAGAACTTGTTCCCCCAAAAAAACCCCCCCCCCCCCCCCAACACACACACACACACTCACACAAATTCTCCCAAGTCGCATAGGGGGCTGCAGTCAAGTGGAGGGGTGTGGCACACTCACCACCATCACCACACTCCCATGGTGGTGGCCAATGTGGGTACACATGGGCTTTCTCTACCATGACAGCAATTGTGTCTCACTCCAACATGTTCGATACATCAACATTGTATTTTGCAAGACTGTGCCTGCTATTATGCATGTTCACCCCCAAATTATACACAAAGCAGTTATCCATTGCCCACAGAGAAAACAACAACTGAGTGGCATGTGTATCTATGCATTGGCCATTGTTGCACATTGAATGGATTTTCTACAAAATAAACCAAAACACAATGTATGAAGTCTTCACCTGATATGCTGGATTGCTTATTATCATACTTCCATTGTAGAGTTATAGTTGGGAGCTGTTTGAAAGAGAGGATCCTTGACCAGAGGAGTGATACTGTTGTGTGTTCATATAGCTTTTGTAATCATCAGTCTTGCACTGGCAGCCTTGTCAACACTCCCATGATTCACAAAATATTTAGCAGGAATGAATATGTGGATGCAGTTTTTGACTGCTAGAAACCAAATTAGGATATTTACAGTCACATTTGTTACTTGGTCAGCCTTGGTGGTTTTTGCAAACCATAGGTCAACTCAGGATGTATACTGCCAGCTCTTTGCAGTCAATTTTTTTTCTTAATTTTTATACATCTCACCAACTTTGGAATGATGTGAATGACTGTGGCAGACCATTGTGTCAGGAGATTATACTGTAAAATACATGAGGGTTTAATGTCAATAGAAAGGTTAAGTTTTTAGCAATCATGTAGAAAGTCTTCAAAAAAATAAAAGAATGGTCTATCTCAAAGAAAGTAGATATTTTTTTATTGGAAAATATAATAATAATTTCTTTGAAAAATAAGATTTTCACAATTTTTTTTTATCAAAGATAATTATTTTATGTGAAAATACGTTATTTACAAGTATATAGTGCTTCTACTAGATTTACATTTAAAAAAACCATACAATATTATTTGAAGATAGAAAAAATTGAGCTGATTAAATGATAAACATACATGGTTAAGATTTATGGTTTATTCATTAAAGATTATTTAATTTAAGAGTCGTAATTAAAAACTAAAAATCACATTAAAATATTTTAGTAATTTTAAAAAAGTATACTAAATTTTTTTAAATATATTTTTTTATCTTTTAAAATTTAAATTTTACTTTAGTTTAATTTCATCAAGCTAACTTAAATTAAAATTTAAATATTTATTTATTTTTTAAACATTATATTAATATTTAATATTTTTTTGGTGTTTTTATTAATATATATACATATATATATATATATATATATATATATATATATATATATATATATATATTTAAATTCAAACAATGTAATGTTTCTTATTTATATCAAAAATCCATATATTTCTTTTACAATTCCTGATATATTTTGTTATTCTTTTATTTTAATAAAACACTAGACAAACTACTTAATTCAAAAATTTATATTATTTAGTTTTTTAAATTATAGTATGCCTTCTATAATTATTTTTATTATATAGGATCTAAGTATTTTGTTAAATATATATATATATATATATATATATATATATATATACAATATTCATATATTCAATTATTAAAAAAATTGAAATTTAGATAATGATATATTATATTTGAGTGTGTGTAACTTAAAAACATAATTTAGAATTAATACATAAATATAATAATTTAAAATAATATATAAGTTACATAAGCATATATTATCTAAAAATGATCTATAATAAAACATGTACCTTGATACTTAAAAATATTATTTTATTAACTTTAACAAAGCTATGGTTGTTTAATAAATAGATTATATATTTTATAAAAGAATAGCATTAGTTTGCAAGTTATATAAGAACATGTTTATAATAATATATAACACAGAATCTTCAATTTATTTTTAGAAACTTCCTAAATTGAAAGCTATTAAAAAATAAATTAATATTTTTAACAAAATAAAAAATTATTTTGAAATAAAAACTGTTAAGATAGATATTTTATTATTATTATTATTACCAATGATTTTGGATGGAGTGGGTATTCTTGACATTCCAAAAGCAGAAACCTTTTTTTACTAAATTTAGAAAAATTATATAACTCCTATGTGTGCTAAATACTATATCTATGAAAATACTTTATTTAATAGCATTGCTTTAAATCCATGAAAATTTCTACTCTAACTTCTTAATTATTATGAACTTTAAGCTGAGAAAGTAGTAATTTCTCTTTGTTTAGTATGTTGAATATTCTACAAAACTTGGAGAAAGAAATGTAAAACATAAGTTATATCGATACTAAATTAAGATAAATTAATCTAGTATATAAATTTATTTAATAAATTTTGGTTATAAAATAAATAAACATAGTAATTGATAATTTAATTTTAATTAATGATTTTTATTCTAAAATAATTAATTAAATTAATTAAATTTAATCAAATAATATCATTAAGATTTCTAATTCAAAAATATAATTTTTTTGTCACTACTCATAATTGGTCTTTTAATTTTTGTATCTTTATAATATATTGAGATTTGATTTTATATTTTCTAGATGATTTATAATAATATCACTAGTTTTTAAAATAATATATTTGATTTCAAATAAAAGAATATATTTCATTAATAAAAATTATTCACAAGATATTTTTCTAAGTTATAAGTGATGATATGCTACAAATATCATTTTAATTTTTGAATTATATTATATTTTTTTGACTAATTTAAATTTAAATATTAAATTGAAGTTAATTAATAATTTATTTTTTTAAATATATATATATATATATATATATATAAATTAATATTTATAATTAAACATTATATTAGTGACATATTTTTAATATCATAAGATAGTTTTATTTTTAAATTTCTCTTATTTCTTTCTACATATTAGTCTTTGAAAGAGATAAAGAAAAAATCAATTATTATGGTCAAATGATCCTATAACAAAAACAAAAAGTCTTAAGTGATAGAACATCATAAGATACTTAAAATATACTTAGTTGCAAAGAATCTTTAAAACAATAAATGACTTTATTGAATTATAATATTTTATTTTATAAATAAAATGTAATTGAATTTTAATTTATTTAATTATTTATATTTATATATATATATATATATATATATATATATTCTCATCTTCTTTATTTGACATAATATTAAAAAAATATAGATAATATATTCAACAAACTTTGTTGCTTATTTGGACAATATGTAATCTTGAACATAAAATGTAGCAAAATTATGCTACAACAACCTTAACAACTTAAAACACATGTTGAAATGAAATATTTATATTTTTATAGAAGCTCATAATATATAAAAATATATTCTAAATAATTTTTGAAAAATTAAATTGATTTTATTTATCCAACATTTGTACATAAAAAAAGTACAACATTTTATTCAGAATAACCATGCTTAGTATTAAAAAAATTATTTAAATGTTATTTTTAGAGTATCCAAGATTGCATGCATTTATGAAAAATATTTAAATTTGGATCATGATAAAGAATCTCTTATATCAAAGATAGAAAATAGTGATTCTTACTAGTTAATATGTTAAAATAATATTTATCTACAAACATCTATAGTTTTTTTTTTTTTTTTTTTTTTGTTTTTTTTTTACAAAAATATTTTGTGTACTTATAAGAATGTTTAAATGATATCTATATATATATATATATATATATATGTTAAATACTTCTAACTTATTTTATAAATGATTGTAGATTGATTCTTATAGTATTTGTATTTATTTATGAAAATCAATTGCACAATAAAACTAAAATAAAAAAAACTATAATCGAAGTTTTATTTTATTTTTTAAATCTCATAATAATATTTATGTT